GGCCTCCCAAAGTGCTGGGATTGTAGGTGTGAGCCACCATGTCCAGCCCAGTTGTGATTTTAGAAGTGAGGATTCAAAGGTAGGCAAAAACAAAGTCGACATTTTCTTGTCTTTCTCATTCATTTGTGTAAAATGTATGTGAGTGACCTAAGTAGTTAATGTAATAGACTATTTGCGCATGTAAGCAACATAATGTTGAAAGTAATTTCTCCATAAGTAATTAAAACATAATAGCATTTTGTTTAACTTTGGCTAGGTGCTGTGATTGTCTCCACGCCCCAGGACGTCGCATTGATGGATGCGCACAAGGGTGCTGAGATGTTTCGCAAAGTCCATGTGCCCGTAAGCATTTACAGCTTCACTGTTGAAAAATATAAAACTCTTCTAACTGAAGAACCAAGTCATTGAAAAATACAGTTAAAGTTTTAATTTAGTCCTGTGCAGAAGTCTTTATGAAAGTCCTAGTTTATCGTTATGGTTACTTTAAAAACACACTTATAGGTGCAAACGCGTCTATACAAGATATTAATCCAGAAGAATTCTAAGACACCCTTTAGGTAAGAGTTTTCTATAGAAGTACTACTTCTCTCATACTTGCAGCTCTCACTGACCAAAAAAAAATTACAAGAGTGTTTTAGGAAATTATTTAGATCGATAGACTTGAATAGATCACTTATGGGGAAACAGATGAAAAAAGATTACTTTTTTCCTTCTGCCTCCTACAGTTCAACTCATTTATAGCTCACCTTCTTCTAGGAGGCACTTCAGGATTTTCTACCCAATTTGGTGGAATGAAAGTTAAAAATAAAATAAAAATAGACAAAATAATTAAAGTTAGATGGAGTCAGAAGTGAAGTCAGTAAACAAATTGCATGCTATTAAGGAACTTAAATACATGCTAGGGGTGTACCACGACTTTTCTAGCAGCCAAAGGGAAAGAAATATAGTACCATTATAAAACTGTGCATTTCTGCAAGTTAAAAAAAAAAATAAAACTGAATGCTCAAGAGAGACAGAGCTGAGACCAGAGAGAAATATCTTCCCTAAGTTCTTAGAAAGAAGAACCTGTGTATGTAATGAACACACTCTCATCACCTTCTTTACAGTAAATACAGGGTTCTTCCTTCTAGTGTGCCTCAACAAAAGCAGGTGGAATCGTGCTGGAGTACAATTTAAAACAAACATTTCAGTACAACGCCAACATGATACTTCTCTGTGGCTAGCTAGTAGCCTTGCTTAATTCAAAGACAGATTTTAGAGCATATACATCAGAGCTTTTTAAACTTCAGTCTGTAGATTAGCTTCAGGAGTCTCATGATTTTTCTCTCCCTCACCTCCCCCAGCCCTAAATTGTATGCCTACATGTATTTGTTTTGGTATGGAATGAATTATAACTTTTATCAGATTCTTCAGTGAGACCATGACACAGGATAAGATCCAATAATGTATTTGAATGAATGGACTTGAAGGGAAGCTTTCATAAATGTTTATCTCTCAGAGGGCTTCTGAAAAGTATAAAATAGTGTAGTAGAATGGTCGAGGTGAATTTCCTCAAGTACCTCTTCTCCCTTGCCAGTTAGCACAGTGCTGTGGGCATTGGCAAGCTGCGGAACTCTGGGTTGGATTGACATGTTCTCATGATGAGGAGGCTGATAAGGAAGGTGCCTGTTTGCTTACCTTCCAGGTGGTCCAAGGGTTTTTCACTAGCAGGTTTATAATTGTAATCAGCAAGTAGTTTAGGGCCATTGTTCTATGTTGTGAACTTTAGGTTGGAAAATTTTTAAAACAATGATAACCAAATGCCTGCCTCACACAGAAAACTCTCTCTAAAGCACCTAATTTGAGCAATGTTACTTCATATTATGCCCTGTAAGACAAACTAGACACAAGTAATGCCTACCCAGATAACTAAATAAGGTTACTTATTATATGGGATTTTAAAATACAAATCAGCAAAAAGTTAGAAGGTTATCTACCAAAAATTATGACATTGACTTAAGTAATCTATAATGCTTCTTTCTGGCAGAAATTAAATAACAGTGCCAATTGTCTGTTAAGATCACTCCAAAGTCAGGATAATAGCCATTCTATTTGCACATAAGTGAATGCTTAACTTCTCATTCTGTACGATGAGAGTTGAGGGTGTCTCGCTCACCCAAAAACATGAATTCTTTGAGGAAGAAGTTTTAAACAGAGCAGAAGTAAGACCTCTTTACAATTTTACCCCGTATAAATTATCATTTTGTATATCAAAATACCATTTCAACTGACACTGCCATTTGAGGTGACTACGTATATGGAGCAAGTCCTACATGGACTTTGCTAGTTAGGAGTCTAATGACCGTAGTTGCCAAATTCAGCATATATTATTTTTCAGTCCCTATTTAAATCTGTATACCTGTAAACTTGGATACTTATACTGTTCTGACAGATTTTTTTCCTAGATTCTAAGGCAGAGGGTTGGACAGATAATCCTTATGGAACATAACAGAGAGGAAGAGGGATGATCACTAAGTCCAGGTTAGGCTATTGCTAGGTGGATGCCACTGAAGGATAAATGCTGAGGATATTAGCAAGGAAGTATTATGAAGACATATTCCAGATGAAGGCTGATGGACTGCATAAGGCTCATAGAACTACTTCAGGGATCAGTTAGAAGGTGAAAGAGCTGTTTGGGATCAGAAAGTTGATGTTCGAGTATAAGTTTGCCAAGTTAGAGCAGTTCTGGATCATGGCAAGGTCCAGGATGTTGTCATGGGTTTGTGGGACTTAGTGGGAGTAAAAATGAAAGTCATTGGAATTGTGTAATTCTTCCAAGTTGAAATTTATAGTTCTTTCCTCTGTAAGAACTTTTGGACATCTTCCTGTATCTTTATTATAGCTCTCTCTCTTTTTTTTTTTCACCCTACATTTAAATTATTTGCCTTCTAAACTACAAACATTTTTTAAAAGAGATAGAAGGTCTTAATCATCTCTTAAACCTGAAGAACAAGGTAGGTATTCAGTAATGTTTGCAGGTGAATGAGTGAGAACTTTCCAGCAATAAGCTCTGTGAACAATTGGGCAATCATGATTAGCTACATTGTAAAGAAGGTCTTGGCTATGAGTGGGAAGTGGATTTGATGACCTCTGAGATCCCTCTGGGCCTTAAAAGTCCCAGAGCCTAAGTAATAGTAAAGGATTTGAAATTATTGAGTGTTTTATAAATACCAAAAAAGATGTTATGCTTTGTTTATACCAGTTTATTGCATTTCGTCCCCTTGGTTTTTAGTCCTGCTCTCTATTTTTCTCCCATTTGACATGCATTAGTTACCGTGGAAACAATGATGTCATTGGAATGCATCGGTATGGACAGAGTTTAGTAATGTCTGCAAGAACATATTGAAGTTAATTTAAATGATTTCTTAAAACTCAAGGCTTAGATAGGGGAAGTAGGAGAAGAGATGAGCTATTAAATTTTCTGTTCTCTGCCTGAAATGGTAGCAACTGTGCCAAATCCTTAATTATCTTAATATATGTAGGTAGAACTATTTTTTTAAACAACATAAAAATTTTCAGTCTTATACATTTTTAATAATGAGTAATTTATGTGTTGTGTCATTCTCACTCATTTTTCTTGCCTTCTTATACATGGGAGTCCCAGGCACCCCGATTTGGAGCCCTTCTCCTACCATTGCACTATATATCCTTTACTTCTTTGATAATCTCTTTCCCTGCTACTGAAAAGTAAATTAAAGTATATTTATTCTCTTACTCCTTTGGCACATAAGGGATCACTTAGTTACTTTTAATTCAACAAATATGATTAATTTATTTTTCCACAAGTCTATATTTACTGATATTTAGTGTCTTCTATAAGCAAAGTACTGTAATAAACTTCCATTAGTGGTTTAGAAAAAAATAAAGAAGGATGAAGCCTCTTTCTTCAAGTACTTTATCATCCTGTAGACTAACTCTGTTTTGATGCAAAGGCCTTAAATTCTGAAAAGCATGAAAACACTTTTTCTTCCAGACTATCAGGGATGGCTTTATGGAAAAGCCATGATTATTTTTTTCATGCCCCTGTAATTTTACACATCCTGGTCCTTTGCCTGATAAACCACAGCCAATTTAGGGAACTCATGTATTCATTTTTAACATCTCTGCTCAGACATTATTTCCTCTAGAAAGCTTTTCCCAGTGTGCCAGGAAAAGTTAATACTCCTATCTGGGATCTACTTACACATATATTTAGTTTGGTTCTTATTGCACTACAGGTTTACCTGTCAGTCTTCACAGAAGAACGCAAGTTTTGGATAGCAAAAAAACATGCTTTAAACAATCTTAAATGCATAGTTACCTGGCATATAGCAGGCAGGATACTTTGATTTAGGATGTAATGCCATCCACATCTGCTGTTCCCTTTACCCCCAGCTCATGGGCTGCTCTGCCTTGCTTTCTCTGTGCCACAGCCAAACTGGTCTTCTTCCACTTCTTTGAAGTTTCCACACACCATTTTTCTCCTCGGGACCCTTACCATGCTTTTTCCCTACTGGAGAACATTTTAACCTCGCTTTTCACCTGTTAACAGTCCTTTTTATACTTTGGTACTTAAACAAAAGGCTTTTCTCAGGGAGAGGGCACCTCTCCCTGAGAGACAGAGTCTCACTCTGTCACCCAGGCTGAAGTGCAGTGGTGCGATCTCAGCTCACTGCAACCCCTGCCTCCTGGGTTCAAGCAATTCTCCTGCCTCAGCCTCCCTAGTAACTGGGATTACAGGCACCCGCCACCATGCCCAGCTTATTTTTGTATTTTAGTAGAGGTGGGATTTCACCATGTTGGCCAGGCTGGTCTCGAATTCCTGACCTCAAGCAATCCACCTGCCTCGGTCTCCCAAAGTGCTGGGATTACAGACGTCAGCCACCACGCCCAGCCCGCCCTAACCCTTTTATGAGCTTTTTTAGTTTTATGATACAATTATACTCTATTACTCCTTTTGTAACTGTTTTCACATTTGTTAGTACTTTCACATTTGCATACTATACTGTACTGTACTATACTATACTATACTATACTATACTATACTATACTATACTATACTCATACTATAAGCTCGGTGAGTACAGGGACCACCTGTCTCTCTCGCTGTGCCTGGAAGATGTAGTTTCTCACTAAATATATGCTGAGTGAATGAGTGGAGTAGGATTTTCATAGGCATATCTAGGGACTAGGGAGGGACAGAATTCAGTCTTGAAAGAATCAGGAATACACAAGTTGTGTTCAGGATTGTTGAGTTTGTCTATAGTTGAGGTAGTGTGTATTGGTGTATGGCCAGGTTTGGTAGAGCCTTAAACAGTAGGCTA